CTGTTCCAGACTGCATTTGTCTTTTGCCGAAGCTCAAACTCTGGCACAGGATCGGGAACGTTGGAAGCACCGTCTGACGCTTCTGCCTCCGCGACCCGAAAGGAGAAGCGGCGATGGAAGATGAAGATGATGAAGAAGATGAAGATAAGCTTCCAGCATCTATTTGGTTTGACCTTTGTCGATTTTTTGACCAGTTGTCATTGAGCCATGAAGGTTTTATCCAGCAAACAGCAACAACCAGTCTTGTTATAAAGGAGGTCTGTCTGTATAAAGATCAGTTCGTTGGCTAAAACTCTTTCATTTAAATAAATCACTTAATGCATCGTACTACATGCATAAATAAACCTTGTTTCACGGCGTCTTCAGAATTATGAAAGACGTTTCGAAAAAAAGCTGCTCGGTTTTTATATATCTTTTGTTTTAAGAATATCCGGGATGGAGTTTTCGACGTTTTGCCAACAAACGCGTTAGAAGGGCTTACTTCGGAGGACCTGCGACTTCTGCTCTGCGGAACATCTGACATCAACATCAAGATTTTGCGTTCGTACACTAATTTCACCGATGAAAGCAGTGCAACAGCAGAGAAGCTTTTGTCTGCCGCAAAACTTGAGCACTTCAAAAATTGGTTTTGGTCTGTTTTGGACAAAATGACCGTCGAAGAAAAGCTCGTATAATCAAACTGTTGATTTATTTGTTTTCTTTGCAATCTCTGTTTAGGACTTGATTTATTTTTGGACCGGCAGTCCAGCTTTGCCTTCGAGCGAAGAAGATTTTCAGCCGCTGCCTAGTGTTGTGATAAGACCGGCAGACGACCATCACTTGCCTACGGCGAATACGTGCATTTCACGATTATACGTGCCGCTGTATTCGACCAAACAGATTCTCAAGCAGAAAATGTTGATGGCAATCAAGGCAAAAACGTTTGGTTTTGTTTGAGGAGTGACGATTGGCGTTTGACTCCGAATGCCATTGTCATCAATTTCTTGTCATTGTTCACTGTAATTTGCTGCTTCATACCGGCTGTAAATTTTAAATTATGGAATCTACAATTTTCGTTTTTAATACTGCATAACTGTTGTTAACCCATAACCGAATGAGAAACGAAGTTCAGCCGCTGTGATGGCTGCAGATGTCCATTCAATTGTTTCGACCAGTTGGTTGACGGTTTCTGTCGTATTATTTATGAATTTCGCTCGGAATAATGTGCTTGTGTGTACATATATGCTCGATGAAGCTAGGTCTTGTACATTTTCTAAATCCGGGACCATACCCATATACCAGTTGTTACGTTGGTGAGAAGTATGCTGTTGGATTAAAATGACGAGCATAATCGGTAGATAGCGCTCTGTTAATGCTGCTAGAACTGCTTAGTGTAGAGGTTGCTCATTCAAAATGTGATCGGAATAACAAAGATAATAGCAAAATGTAGATAATCATTACGATAAAATAGACATTGAGTGGAATTCTAGCAGGCTTGTATTCAAAGCAGAATATAAAAGTGTTTTATGCGATGTCACGCTGCATTATTCTTTCATGGAATAGGCCGAATCGCCTTTTAATCTGCACAAAGGTACTCATTGGAACGGTACTCTACAGCCCTTGCTATTGTTTATATTCTGTTAGGCAGCCACATAATATCAACGGCATTACCAGCGGTTAAGGCTCAAAGTGTTGACAATCACAGCAGATGCCTAAAGAAGTTTACATGGCACCAAAAATGTCAATGTAAAATTAATACATAACGTAATGTAAGCTTCAAGCCCTTCACGAAACAGAGGACGTCCGAAAGTATCACCTCAAAATAGCCATAAGGTACCAGTTCGAAATTGTTGGACTCTCGTGAACAAAGCATCAAGGCTCTGGAACCCTGAACCTCAGCGGATGGAAGATATTCTACTACCATGTCGAAATCACGAGAGGTATTCAGGTCGTTGGTGTTCCAGTAGAACCCACCTTGGTTGACAGAATAATGTGCACGTTAGTAAAGCTAACTGTCAATAGTCAAAGTCAGTAAAGCGAGCGTATTTCTTAACTCACTCGTCTTCTGTGACAAAGTAACTCGTTGCAAATATAACAAGAAACGTTTTGCTATAAACTAGACAGGTAATATGCTTTTCTTTCGGCAATCTCTTAACAGGTATTTCACAAACGTTTTTCAAAGTAAACACGTTGACAGAGAATTGATGGCTGATGAATCGTCACCGGCTGATTAAGGCTTAGTGGCAGTGCCGAACTGGGTTATACCCCAGTCTATAGCAGCACTACGAATACTGCTGATTTCGAACCAGTTCTAGTAGTGCGCGTTATCAGAATTTGATCTTTCCGCACTTCATGGAACCCCACAAAATTTCCTTGTGGAAGTCCAGTGCGCGGGTTCAATTCAGAATAAATCACGCCATCACTAGCCAAGATTGTTCCCAGATATCTGAAATTGTTGATGACCTCATATATCTGTGCCATTCCAAACATCTCTGTTTGTCAGATAAAACCAGTGTGTTCACACCGTATCCTTGTTATTGTTTTCTAGCCCACTACCACTACCGTGGTACGCGTTGTTAACGTGAGTGTCGGTTACTTTTTTTTGAAGTTGCCCAGAAGCAAAATGACATAAGATGTTCAGCTTCGCTTGAAACTGTGTCGGCCGCCGAAATATTTGTCGTCGAATGACGGTAAAAGAATCTCTCTGCTTTGAAACGGCACCTTTCAGGATTAAGCACTTCAGCTCCAAAGACAAATGAGCGATGATACTGCTTAAACGATCCCTACTTTTGTCCACGCCACCAAATGACGGCGGCATTACGGAGCGCATATGTTTAATTCTCATTAGCAAGCGATGCAATCATTGAAGTATGAATAGAGTTTATTAAGCGATGTTTCACAAAGGTCAAGAGATACAAAAAAACAATACACAACGTGACAACATAAATGTTACATGCTAAATACAGTGTAATGCTAAATACTCATAAGTGCGTAGCAGAATGGCGTGCCACAATCGTTCAGCTGCCACAATCTGTTCTGTTTACCTGACGAATAGGTAAAAAGTGACGCTTTAACGACTCATCGCGTTAGTTTCATTCAGCGTTCAAAGGTCTGCATAGAGTTCAGATATGCACAACAACAATCATAACAAACGAACATCTTCGATTTGGTGAACGCAAGTATGCGAACCACAAATTCAAACAGGTAGTAAAACATGACCGAAGAGCAAAACGCTCAGCGCAACAGAAACTGGTTGTTCGAAATCGATGCAAATGGCATTCGTCAAGTGTGAGTGCCATTCATTATGAAATATTTAACGTCTTCCGGAAGAGGCACTACAGATTTTCTGCCTTTACGTTTGCTGCTCAAATAACGAAGAAGCTTCCGCGAACATGTCACATGCAAATAACAGTGCGCCGGTACAAATAGCGTCTGATGAATAACAGCACAGATGCGATAATATCTGCCACTGAAGGGGTCCGAAACCGCAGGACATAGGATACAGTTCAGGTTCACCTGTGTGAACTAAAAACAAACAACAACCTTAAGAAAACCAATGGTTTACGTCAAGAAGGCGATATTTTTGCCTTGAAAATGAGACAAATCAAACTAACAAATCATTAACGCCATTACTCCATACCAGGCACTGAGCACAATGAGGAAATGTACAAAAGCGATCGTCATTTAAAACCAAAAATAATGATAACAAAGGACAGACGAAGACAAGTTGAAAATAAGGTGATGCCAAGGATTTTCACTTCGCGCGGAAATCTCATCCTACATACTTGCAGGGCAATCACCCTAGTCAATGTGAAAACAAGCGGCAGTACATGGCAAGTTCTTAAAAAAAACCAATGTGCCGTATTCTAATGGCCACTAGGTATCTAGAAGGAACGATTCCATCACGTGATGAAATCCTGTTTGGGGTGTTAAGAAATTATTGATTATACTTTCAATATATGGATAGATAAACCTATATCTGTGTCATTCATAGAAAACAGTTTCACGTTCTAATCAAAAACCACTAGTGAAGAGCAAGACATTTTTCTAACCAAAAAAGTGATGCGTCATTGCACTGCCAATGCTGAAATATCGTGGATCCGTAACTCTGCGATTTGCCTGACTAGCAACAAAGTACAACGTTGCTGCTACTATGTGTCCCAGTTAAATTGAGCCATACTGCCGATCTAGTTTCTAGTGCTGTTGGCGACATGCTCACAGCGCAACTGCTCCTGAAATATCATTGTTGACGATCAACATATTACTGGAGATAATAAAATAATGCGAAATGCAGCAAAGTACAACTGTTGGTAAAAGATGGAGCCATGCCTGCCCATCTAACCTTCCTCACGCTCCAGCATATGAACAAGACAGAGGAGGGGCAATAATAGCATGAAAACCAATTAGTTGAAATTATTAGTCATCATACTTGCAAACAGATTTTTGCGACAGATGGATACCATCGATGCTCTACATAAATAATTGAAAATTCCCACATAGTGGCTAATACAAATGCCTGAAAAGTAAGTTCTGACATGTCATAAAACGTGTTTGACTACAGTGGTAATTTTTAAGCTCTACCAAAACAAGAAAACATACGAAAACTGGCACTTAATTCCAACATTCGCATCGAATCAATATCGATTTTAGGGATTTAAAGCTGCACAGAAACCGTCAACAAAAAACACTTAGGTGATATACAATAATCTGCTACAGGATGATCTGGCGGTTCAGTAACGACTGAGCCATTGTAAAATATCTGCCGAAAAAATACTTTCACGGATTAACACCTATGGAAAGGTTCTTCGCGACTGCATGCCATTTCCCATTCCTCTGTATAATGACTTAGCTTTCGCTTACGAAACAGTTTGTATTCTGCCGTATTCAGAGCTAGCCACCTTCAGGTCGCAGAGTCAGCGGCTTCAGGAAGACCTCCTCGTGGTCCTGAGTGTTCGCGATCCTGTAAAGCGCTCAGCACATCTGGTTCTGGGTCTGTCCTGGCTTAACAAAGAAAGCCTTCTTGCTAGCCTTTTTGTAGCATTCTGTTTAAGCATCAAGCCGAAAATGTGAACACTAGATAAGAAGTAGCACACACGTAAAGCGATGGCACCTCAGATAGACGTGACTGATACTTATCGGCAGCTGTCAAGCCAAAAAGTATTCAAAATAACCTCGTGGATGTCATCTGCATCCACGATCACATTCTTAATCAGTACGCAGGGCATACCACCACAGAGAGCCTCTTCTACAAATTTGAAGACAATTATCTTCTTACCACCGGTCTAAACATTATTCATCATTACTGCCGATATGATAATCGCATCACTACAAGCACTCAACAGTCTGGAAGTTAGCTTCCTCTCATGCCTGGCATAACGGTTGAATAAAACTCGAAGCATAACTGTATTCTTTCATCCATTTTTACAGTTACAAAATCTTTTCGGATAGTTGTGGCAAGTACTTCTGGAGATTGGCCCTGCCCTCTCATGATCAATAATGCTCTAGGAGCCGGATTACAAGGCAGTTAAATGCCAGAAGTTCAGCATATCCGAACCATACTACCCTCGTTCTTCTACCTTGGCCACGTGTTATGTGGATTAGGGACGTCAGACTCTAATATATCAAAGCAACCCACATAATTGTCATTCCATGGACCTTAGAAAATAAGACAGGCACAAATTACATTTTTAAGTGCTGTATCATGGATTTGACACAGCTGCCAGCGGAATCACTAAATTATCATCAGGCACTTGCCATCGTTTCAAGCCGGTCGCTCAATTAAATTGTGATGCACTGAAATCGATTAGTCGCAACTATCTTGTGGCACTAACAACAGTTCGCTAAAGAAGCACTAATTAACATATATGTTAACGAGACAAACCGACCAAACCAATCGATTCAAGAAACACTGTCTGGACAAGCAAAACCTGCGGTATATATCAGACACTACCTGCAGCTCAATAACGGGACGTTAGAACAAGTTAAAAGAAATCTGGCTGCTGGTCGATATTCTAGCTGTAAAGCTAGTAACATCGAAAACAAGAACGATGAGAGGGTTGCAGGCTGGCGAGAATGATGACTCGTTGGCTAATTTCTATGCCGCATGATGTAAACACGTTTTTCTGCGGGCTTCAAAACCGGAATTCAGTACTGAGCATCATGGAGATCAAGCAATGAGGTACGAAGCGAGAGGCATGACGCAATAAGCAAACTGAAAGTGTTTGACTTCAGCATAACAGAAGCTGATAAGACCTGCGTCAAACTCGGAAAAGGTCGACGTATAAGACTTAAATGAAGAATACTCCGCGTCAAAAGAAAGAGAAAGTCAATGTTGGTAGGTGGTGGCAAACGGGTTGTAAGAAACGCTGCAGGGCGAAATGTGCCAACGACAGCAAAAACAACATTCCGTTTAGGAACACTAAACACGATTAAAGACATGGAACCAAAAAGTTTCTTCAATTTATGAAGCGGAAACAAACATCCGTCTTTCGCACAAGTCAGGTAATTGACCCTTATCTTACTGAGGATGAATCCGATGAGGAAAAAGCACGAAGCAATGCTACTGGAATAAGGGTGACTGTGTGCGGTTTTCCGTGATGACAGCTGACGCTGGAACTGAAAACTGTATGAAACATGAAGTGTTCAAGAATGGTTTACTCGG